CCAGTTTTAAGAGATTCTGGTTCTTACCTCAGTTGAAATCTACCTGTAGCCCCTGGAGCAGAGGCACATTGTGTCTGGTATTCTTCCTTCACACCCTGATGAGTCCATGGGCTGTATCTGCCCCAGTCTTGGCAGTTCATTCCTGCTGCTTACCTTTGACAATTGTTGGGAAGGCAATTGCTTGTCCATGGACTCTCTTCTCTCATTAGGGCTGCCCTCCCTAATTTACCTCATTAGTACCTACACCTCAGATAGACTGACACCCTCAGGTTGCCCTTGGCATGCCATTGCCTTGAGGTTACCCTGCTGTCCAGACAATGGTAGAAATTGGACCAGAAATTGAAAGCTATAACAGATTGTCACTGAATACACAGATGGTATGAGGAAGCAGATGGAGCTACCCAATTCATATTCTCCATGGCCCTGAAAGTTTTACAGAATGACTTTGGACATATGGGTCAAGAAAGGACCTTAGGGTTAGTAAGAAACAGACTCTGATGATCCAAGATGGATGCAGATACAACCAAGAAGTGTCAGATGTTCTCAATATGTGCAAAGAAAAGTACAATGAAATTATGCTACATATTTGATGAATAGAAATACTAGCGTACCCTTAGCATACTCTCTCTAAAAATGATAAGAAGAACATAAGCTATGGCTTATCAATGGTAACTGACCATTTCATAAGACATATCCAACCAAAAACCTGAAAGTTCCCATGGTTGCTAAAGTGTTGAAAGAGGAATATTTCTCAGTGTATGAACTTTATACAAGTCTATTCACACTCTATTCAGACCAAGACAGAAATGTTAAAACACAAAATTCAAGGAGACAGTAGCTTTGGCTGGCATCAACACATCTAGAATTACACCTAATCACCCTCAAGGGAACCCACAACAATATATTTCAATGAAAAATGCCAGGATTGAGACCAGAACAAAAACTGTAGTGTAAACATGTAGCTTTCCTGGTATATGCATACAACTCTACCAGGTTGTATGATGTTTGGGCATGGGTTATACCTATTTATTTTAAAATTTATTTTTTATTGCCTTTGAGGACAGCAAAGATAGAAAGATTGCCTACACACTATGACAGGTCCATCCCTTACCTAAGATGAAACAAGCTTACTTTCTAGCTACAACTTCAGCTCAGAAGAGTGACGAAAGCAACAATTATGTCAAATTCATTGTCAAGATCTTCAACAATGTGATTGAGTTTTGCTTGAGAAATCTTGGTATTTATGACACACACAAGAGTTAGTAGATCAATTGAAAGCTATTCCATACTAGCTGCAGAGAGACTAGGCAGCCTGTGTGCTTAGAGAATTGCCCTTGGGATTGACATATGCCCTACAAAGACAATTCAGGATAACTATTTATTGTCAATAGATGGTGAGTTGGTTAGATTCTCTGATGAGTAGGTAGAGACTGATAAGTACTTATCACAGAGTACTCTAAGTAAAAAAAACTACCTGCCAAGAGTGCAAAGACAGCCTGACCTTCAGAAACAGACAGTTTGAATGAAGATTCCATGTACTATACCCCAGCAAACAGTTCAAATAATGGATGAGGGAGAAGGGAAAGTCAAAGATGACTTCAAGGTTGTTACCCTGTGTAACTTGAAAGATGGTGGCAATCTCACCAGAGTTAGCAATTTTAGAAAGAAGGGAAGTAAACTATTATTTTTTGTTGCTCACTTGCCTCATAAATATTTTGAAAAGTATTTTGAGCACTTTTTCTTAGGGTTAAAAGACTTGTTCATACTGACTATTCCTATTTCCCTTTGTTGAATAACAATTCCCTAGCCTCATATTATTACTGTTGTTATATGGCTGACCAGCTAGCTGGTAACTACTCCCTAGGCAGATTTACCACTTTGCAGCCTCAGATATTTATTAGCTATGTGACCCTGTCACTTAACTGCTGTCTAGCTCGGTTTTCTCATTTGTAAAATGGGGATAATAATAGCACCTACTTCCCAGAGTTGCAATGATAAAAAGAAATAATACTTGTAAGGCATTTTTCAAACCTTGAAGGGCTTATATAAATGCTATCTATAATAGAAGTGAGGTGTGACATGGTCAGACCTGTATGTTAGGAAAATCAGTTTGACAGCTACGTGGAAGATGAACTGGAATGGGAAGACAGTGGAGGCAGAGAGGTCAACTAGTATGCTATTGTAATAGTCCAAGTATAAGGTAATGAAAGCCTGTAAAAGAGTATTAGTTGTATGATGGGAGAAAAAGGAACATATGTTAGAAATGTTGTAAAGGTAGAACAGGAAGAATTGGCAACATATTGGATATATGGAGCCAATCTTCTTTTCTCTTTCCTTTCTCTTCTCTCTTCTCTCCCTTCTCTTCTCATCTCATCTCTTTTCTCCTTTCCTCCCTTCTTCCACCTCTTCTCCTCTCTCTTCTCCCCTCCCCTCCTGTCTCCTTTTTTATGTCTACAGTGGTGTTAAAAGCACTAAATTAAGCTTTGTGCTATCACACAGAATTTCAAGATATCAAGAGTTACAAGAGATAGTAGGTGTCAGATAGTCTAATCCTATATATGTGTATGTAAATGTCCAGAAGGCTAACGACTAAAAGTATGGTAGTACCCAGAGACCACAGGGAACCAACATAGATTCATCAAAAGCAAGTCAGATGAAAGTAACCTTGCTTCTATTTCTGGACAGAATTACAAGATGAGTAGGCCAGAAAAATGTTACAGTCATAATATATGGTATACAAATATACATACATACAATATAATCAAATGAGATAACATATTCAGGGCTCTGTGAACCTTAAAGCACTACACAAATGCTAATAAGCAATTTGTATATCTAATTTCAGTAAGGCATTGCAGAAAGTTGCTCAGAATATCACTGTGGATAAGATGTAGAATTATGGACTATAATATATTTAAGTTAGGTAGATTTAAAAGATTAAACCCAAAGAAAGACAATTCATGTAACAACATCATCCTGAAAGAAGTCCTTGAGTAGAAAACTTCAGAGATTTGTTCTTGGTCCTATGCTTATTAAATCTTTGGACTGTGTGATAGGTGGGTAAGATATGGGCTAACATAATCAAGTTACAAAAAATGTCCTGGCAAGCTAGAATGATGGTCCTAATCTAACAATACTCAGAAATTCAATAATTATAAATCTAAAACCCTCATTAGGTTAAAAATATCCATTTTTACTAGTATAGGATAGATAAGATCTGGCTAGAAGAACTTCAGAGCATAGGGGACTATAAACTGAAAATGAGTCAACACAGCATAATGACAACCAAAAAAAGCAAATTTCATTTTAGGATGTTTTAATAGCTGCATAGTGACCAGAATGAGAGACATGAGATTTCCTCTATGGTTTTCCCTAATTAGACCATATCTGCAGTGCTGTGTTTAGTTTGGTATGTTGCATTACAGTAAGGATGCTCACAAAATACAGAGCATCTAGGGAATGGTAATCAAGAGGGGATTCAAAACTATACTACACAAAGACAGGCTGAAATAAGCTATGTTATTTGTCCTAGAGAAAAGAAGACCTACATAAGAGGACAACAACTATCTTTAATTTTTGAAGGCCTATTGTGAAGGTGAGACAAATTTCCCTTGGCCAGGGTAGAACTAGGGATGATGCGAAGAATATGCAAGGTCAGATTTCTCTTCTCTTCTCTTCTCTTCTCTTCCCTTCTCTTCTCTTCTCTTCTCTTCTCTTCTCTTCTCTTCTCTTCTCTTCTCT